TTAGTAATTGCGGGTAAATTGTTATTTTCAAAGGGATGATTGGCCCGTAGAGCTAAATTATTAATTTCTAGTGGTAAAGGGAACTCACTTTGCGACAAAGTAGGAAACTATGGCAATTTATTTTTAACAGTTTTAGAGCTGCACATCTTTGCGCTGCTGGAATAGCTTGTTTGATCAATCGGATCAAAAAGCCACTGGTAACAGTTGGTGTTGACGGTTCCGTTTATCGGTTTCATCCCAATTTCGGTAGAATTATGAATGCAAAAATAAGCGAACTGGTTGAAAAACAATACAGGGTATGTTTGTTCTCAGGTTATGCCTGACTCCTTTTCTCTTTATGCTATCAAATCTGCCAGAACCGTTTCGGCAAAGATGGGAATGCGATGTCAGCGGCCTTAGCGATATACGTGCATCTATTTGGACTGTGCTCGAGTATTGCTTAGCTTCGTGGATATCACTAAACGGTACTCAGTCTAATTCTGATGACTTTCACGCTATTTCATAACAAAATCTACTACACTGCAATCCGGCAAGCTTAAAGTCTTAAAAATTTAAATCCGTGCTGCCTACTCAGTCCCAATTCATCTGATTTCGACGATTTTCTTATTACTTCATAATAAAATCTCCTCTCACTGTGTTGAGTTTGCGGAGGTTTCTTTCCAAAACTGTACTAATTTCTAAGGTGTCCAGTTTTTCCAGTGCTCTTGATCCAAGTTCCTCGAAGTCTTTTCAGGCAAAATTCAGTAACCAGCACTCTTTTAAATCAAACAAAACTTGAACCTGCACTTCTCTGTTTTTGCTTCTTAAGCAAAAACTCAATGTTCTGCAAGCTGCAGAGCACGAAGTCAATAAACCCCAGGCTGGAACGCACCAGGTGCGATCATGCATTTTTACACCAACCATAAAGTAATTAGGTCAACCAAATGAACGGTTGTTTCTTCACACCTACCTTGCGCGCTCAGTACCGTAAATCATCGTAAATTTTGCATAAAAGGAAACAATTTCTGTTTAGCGACCTTTTTTATGCGTTTTTGCTGTGCAGCTCTGTAGCAACGCTATAGCGCTGCTACAGTCAGCAAAACGCGTACTGTCGAGAGGCTGTCCGTGTGTGTATGTGTTCAGAAGCGAGTGCGTTTTGTCACCGACTTTCGTCTCAGCAACCAAGAAAGCTGGGAGGCTGAAACTTTGGATACATGTTCCTACCCTATGTGTCATCCTCTCGTTTCAAGATGTTTCCCCATACGCGCCTAGACCCCGCATACGGGCCCTTCAAAGAAAAATATGTTGGCGGGAAACGATTTCGCGAACCAGGCAAGATAGAAAGCTGAAACTTTGCAGGGGTGTTCTCTATGCA